GGGGGGGACAGCTGGTGACGACGGTCTGGAGGCAGGGTGGGCGTCGTTATTGTGTTTCCTCATTGGCCTGCTTACTTACTGGACAGGCTGTCTTCTGCTCCTGCGCGCGCGACGCACTGCTGCGCTTTGAAAACTCTCCTGAGTAATTCAAACCCTTTATTCAGCGGTCTTGCTTCTCAACAAACTCATTATAACCAACAACAACTCGTTACACGCGGGGGTAACGGGCGTGAGGAGGACGACGCTGCGACGGCGTCTCCCGTGGACCGCTGCTGCTCGGCTACTGCGCTCCCCTTTCCCCCTCCCGTTCTTCGAGAGCCCACCAACGCTGCATGCGCAACGAAAAGGTCGCGTTACCGTGTGCGTCACGTGTCCCTGCTACCGTCTCTCTCTCTCCCTCTGCCTCTCTCTCTCTCTCTCTCTCTCTCTCTCTCTCTCTCTCTCTCCCACTCCCACTCTGTATCCCTCTTTTTCCCTCTCTCTTTCTCTCGCGTCTCCGCACCCTCGAGTCGCTTCGCTTCGCGAAGTTCCTCTCGCGTGGGGGTCATTGCGTGCGTCATTGAGGCGTGTGTGTGGCTCGTTACTGCAACTTTCTACCGTAGTCTGGCGAACATGTGCTTCCTTGTGATATCATTGCGATATCATTACCCTCATATGTCGGTGAGCACGATCTCTCGGTCTCACTGTGCTGTGCCGCGGCATCGTCGAAGTTAAATTAGAGGGAGGGGGTGGGGGTGGGGACATGACGGGGTTGATAGAGATCGGAGAGGACTACTCACGACACAAATAAAAACAGCGCTTCTGCGAAGGACAGCAGCCGTGGGCTCTGGGGCGGTAATTGGAGGGCGGTGGTACCTAGGCACTACACACGCATCCACCCGCGCCGGTTGTTACTCTCTCTCTTTTTCAGCCTCACCGTGACGGACCCCCCCGAACCCACTGATTGGCTCTGTGCCGGCGGTCAGTGACCGGCCGGTGCTGCGGCGCGCCCCGCCACGCCCCGCCACGCCCCGCCACACCCTCCCGGTTATATTGGTTCTATTGGCCCCCCCGGCTCAGCGCCTGACGGGCCGCGTGTGCCCACCGCCCTGCCGGCAGGCACTAGGCGCCTGCACGGGACATTATTACATCTCTCGCTAAAGCCGGAGAGGAAGATCAAATTAGATCACGAGCGATTTACATCGACCCTCTACAACTTCGGCCAAAATTTTCTCACTTAATCCACTCATCAATATGAGTGAAAAACCATTGGCACAACCCCCCAAAAAAATTTATTGGCGGAGATATGATTTTTTGAAGATTTTAGTCACTTTTTGTA